TCGATTTGAACTTTTACCAAGGACCCCCCCCAAAACAAATTTCATGAAAATCCGCCACAACTTTATAAGATATCCTGTTCACAAACAAACCAACACCGATGAAAACATATACCTCCTCGCGGAGGTCAATAAAAGCAGTGATGTTACTATAGGTTCCGTACGCCATACTTTTTTACACATTATTCATCCACGGATTAACAATGATGTTAAGGTTAATGCAAGTACTCATTGCATTCATGCTTTGCTAAAACAACATGCAACCCCATCATAAACTGCATACATTTGAATAATTGACAAAATTAATTAATTTACCTAATACCTCCGCAATTTTGAAAATCGAATATGATTATACCGGTATTTTAGATACTTTCAATGATTCACATTCAACAGATGAAAAAAAAAAAAAGGTTTCATAGTGAGAAGTAACATGAAAAGGATGAGTAAAATAACTTGAGTATCCCTGACCCATGGGCCAAATTCAGTATTCAATATTCATTTTGGTAAAGTGATTAGCCAAATAAATAGTAAAAAAAAACTATATAAATTACAAGTTTTGGTGTGACGAAATTGGTAAGTTTCAGCTCCATTAAAGGGAATGTACAACATTTGCTTTTTTTTCAGAAATAAATGGATTTGGAGGATTAGTATATTATAGCAAATATTGTTAAACTGACTTGTTTCACGTTTTGGGCTTGTAGATGCTGGGAAAACTAAGAAAACCAATCATACTCTTGAAGTCTGGTTCCCTGACCCCACTTAAGATGAAACGGAGCAATTTATAGCATTTAGGGAATTGTAAGGTCAGAGAATCAGTCTGGCAGGCTTGTACCCCTTCACAGGTATGTAATCAATTCCAAAGAAAATGGGGAACAACTAAAAAAGAAAAATTTGGAGCAGTTTCTGAAAAAAAAGCCAGTTTTCCTAAAATCCAAAGGAATTTTTCATTCTAGTAAGAAAACACTCACCTCTGTTTACCTCCATTTGCATATCAGCGCGCACAAACATTCGCTGAAAAGAATAGCGCCCAAGCCATACCCTCATTGTCCACTGCATGCCCCATGTCACAAAGGACCCTGTAACGTAATAGCTCGTCCTATTTTTAATTTTTTTTAAGGGAGGGAAGGTAAACAGAGGTGAGTGTTTTCTTACCAGAATGGAAAATCCCTTTGGATTTTAGGAATTCCATTACAGAAAACACCTCACCTCTGTTTACCTGCATTTGCAGAGTAGCACCGAAAGTCTCAAGGGGGGGGGGGGGGGGGAATGGGTCATGCAGTGGTAATTGAAAGTCTAGACTAGGCCTACATGCAATTCTAAATAACATGAAAAGGTTGTCTAGACCTACCCGGGAGCTGCCTAATTATTTCAAAGGAGCTGTGCGGGCTGAGTGGGCTGCTGATCGTGCCGTTTCTTGGAGGACTTTCCTGCCCATGTGCCCCTCCGATTGCACGACGTCTCCTCTCAAGGGCTTGGTGCGAGCAATGTAGTATTTGAGCGCTCGCACGGGGCACCACCATTTATCCTCTGCTATTGAAGAGAAGGATGTCAAAATTGGAACAAATATGTCGGGGGTGAGAAACCCACTGATTGGTTCTTAGTGAGAAAATCTACCCTTGGAATTAGTCGTACACCGCCAGGTTCCCATCGAATATGGCCTGGTTCCACTGACAGAGCATGGAGTTTGCTTCTGCGGCGAGCTGTAGCTGCAGCCAGTAAAAATACAGTTTTAACTGTAAGATGATGAAGGGAAGAACTGCTTGCTGGTTCAAACGGAGGTTTGGAGAGAGATAACAGGACGGAGCCCAGATCCCATGATGGTATCAGCTTCCTGGTAGGAGGCCAATCATTAAACATACCACGTATCATGTGAGAAATTGACGTATTAGATGAAGTTGTGCCATCACGGAAACCCTGATGAAGGACACCAATAGCCGATCTGTAGCCCTTAATTGTTGAAATTTGAAGGCCTGAATTGAAAAGGTGAAGAAAGAAATCCCCAATCGAGGTTACAGATGCAGAACGGGGATTGACAGCTCGCTCCTCGCACCATTGGAAGGAGACTTTGAGAGCATCCAGGCACAAAGATGGAGAGTGGATGGATCCGGATGCAGAATGTGAGACCTCGGTTGTGATGGGAGGTCTGGCCGGTTGGGAAGTATGAGGGGCGAGTGAACAAGGAGATCCAGAAGGCAAGGGAACCATGGCTGTCATGGCCAAAATGGGGCTATGAGGACTACTCTGAATAGCTCCATTTCTATCTTTGTCAGGACCCATTGTATGAGAGAGATCGGAGGGAAGGCATATGCATGGATTCCTGTCCAGTCGAAGCTGAGGGCATCTACCTTCCATGCCAAAGGATGAGTGTGACGGGTGCAAAAGGTTGGAAGCTGGTTGTTCTGGTGGGATGCGAAAAGGTCCACATGTGGTGTTCCGAGTAAGTTGAAGATGTGTTTGACTACAGGAGGGTGGAGAGACCATTCTGTTGGAGAGACGCGACCCCTGGAAAGGGCGTCGGCGAGGGTATTATTCTTCTTCCCGGCCAGATGGGTGGCTTGAAGAGATATTTGGCGAGGAATGCACCAGCTGAGTAGCTCCCAAGTGGCCAGGCAGAGAGACGGAGAGTGAGTTCCCCCCTGACGGTTGATGTATGACACTACAGTAGAGTTGTCTGATTTGACCAGAACTAGTTTGTTGAGGACTTTGGACACGAGGAAAAGTAGAGCCTTGTACACTGCCAGGAAACTGAAGGATCTTACCCACTTCTGTCATCGTAAGATTAGCCCGTTGGACAAGGGAGAGACTATCTTCATCCACTGTCTGGCCCGAGGAAAAAGAAGACCTTGAAGGTGATCTCGAACGTGTGTGTCGGCTTCGATGACAAGAATCCGACCGTGAGTAATCACGATCATGACGAGAAGAACGATGTCTGCACCGATGTCTGAGCGGGACCGCGCACGAGACCGAGAACAGCCCCAAATCACGGCGATGTCTCCCCGCCGTGGAGCAGTTGGTGTGTTCACCGAAGCATTGCGGAGAACTGAGTCTTTGTCCTTGAGTGAAAGGTACGCCATGATCTCTCAAAGAATGTGGAGAATTACCCTGATAAGGTGTGTAATGGTGTGAAAATCCCTTCAGAAAAGTCTGGGAAAAAACCCGTGGGTAATAGGCTGGAACACTGTGTGGATACGGAGTGTGTGTATTGTGGTCGAATTGACGAGGATCATTCGGGAAAAAGGACCACGTGTGAGACTCCGAATGATGAGGAAAATCTCGCCAAGATTCGCTCGGAAAACTAGGTTGTGAATACGAACCCGTAGTAGAAGTATGGCTGAATGAAGATGGTGGCGGTGGTGCCCCTAGCCTCTGTGACCTGGCGGGGCTAGTCGGATTACTGAGGGACCTTTGGGTGTCAAACGCCAAGCCCCGCTGTCCCGCCTGCACATGCGAGTCGACCTGTTGTTCTGAAGCGTGCATGTGCTCCTGTAGACTGCCGTAAGTATGCAGGATTTGTCGGGGAGTGGCCGTAACTCTCGTTGGAGAAGTGTTTGTCCCCGAAGAATTTCCAACTGCCGAACCCAGGAGATTGGACCCAGTCATTGCTGAGGAATTATCACGCTTGGATTGACTTGAGGGTGACTTTCCGGTAGAATGGCTTGAGCTAGAAACAGTTTTCTTTTTGGTCTTGGCGGAGTCCGCCATTTTGTAAGCACAGCGAGAACAGCTAAAAATGTACGTCTTTACACTACGAGTCGCTGAAAAAACTAGGACGAGCTATTACGTTACAGGGTCCTTTGGGGGCATGGGGCATGCAGTGGACAATGAGGGTGTGGCTTGGGCGCTATTCTTTTCAGTTTTCAGCGAATGTTTGTGCGCATGCGCGCTGAAATGCAAATGTAGGTAAACAGAGGTGAGGTGTTTTCTGTAATGGAATTCCCCAACGCCAGTATTTTACTAACGCTGGTTGGCTGACCAGCGTTGGAAAAATACACATTTTCTTGATAATGCCAGCACAGTTAGCACACCAGGAGCCACGATTTTACAGGATGCTTTAGACTGTCATTCCCTAACAGTCCAGTAAGGTATTGCGTATAATTAGATAATTTTTTTTTTTTGATGTTTGCAAATGTTGTATCTTCCCTTCAAATGTTAAATATTTTTTGACACTTCGCCGAGATTTACTGCACGCCAAGCACCAACGATGTGAATGGACATCACCCGTGCACCAGCGGGCGACCAAAATTTTCATCTGTGCTGAATGGTAGTCAGTCTAGCTTCCAGACGCGCAATTACAAAATTACAACACCGTCTGCAAATGGTGCCCGACTAAATTTAGTGCAAAATATATGGGAGCCCCGAGAGGCCATATAAAGCTTATACTCGATCGTAACCCCATCTAAAAACACGTTAAAATTGTGCAGCAGCAGGATTCCAGTCAAATCAGTGAGTTTGGCGGTTTTGAGACATAACCTTACATTGAAATAAAAACTTTTTATTTTTGCCGACATCCATGGCTACGGCGACGCGCGCGCATACCAGAAACCGGAGACTTTTTTTTGGCATTACGATGGTTAGAACAAAACTATTCCACTTTCAATGGAAATCTAAATGAAGATGCATTTTCACTTTTTTTTGTCAAAAGTATGTCTAACTGAGCTGAAATTCCATCAGGTTAATTTGTTTAATAACCTGCTTCAGATTTATTGTGTTCTTGTACCTTGAATCGGCCAAAACACTTTTTTGCAAATGGTGTCCATTACCTTTGAGTGTAATTCCAGTTCATAAACTGCTTTTATTTGGTTTGTATCCAAATTCCAACAAAAGGCAGGTTGCTAAACAGGACCTACATTGTAGTCTAGTATACTTATTTTGTTCGGCACCCTAAAAAAACCACACATGGACTGGTAAACTGAAAAAATATATAACCCTTCAAGATCCTCAGCCATAGATAAAATTAAAACTGAAGTGGGAGTCAGACAAAAACCAAATAAATTTGTACCTACCACTTTTGGTCTGGAATACACTGTCAGTAATAGATTGCTTTGAACTGGATGAAACTGGGCATGTGTTGCATATCGCCCTAAGGATATCATAAACACAAAAATACAATCAAATTTAGCTGCAGTGTTAACTTCTTTTATATATAATCCAGCCTTTCTCATCAAGACATTTTCTTGCAACATACATTTGTTTTCTTCAAATATGCCAAACAGGAAAACTGACAAGTTCCATTGTTATTATTATTTAAGTTGAACAAAGAAAAACCCTGCTTAACTCAATTCCTTTGTTCAACTTTAAAAGCAAATTATAATGCATCTTGTCAGTTTCCCTTTGTGTTTCATTTCAAACAAAAGGAAAAAAGCAACTACAGTGTGTCCTTTAATATGGTGCATGAAAAAAATCACCAAATTCTCCCAATTGATTTCAAATTGTATAGAAGTGTGATGTATTCAACCTTGTCTATTAATACTCCCATTCCCATTAAAATATGTTGATGCAACCAGAGATACAGCTCTTAAAATGCAGTATACTTTCACCCAATTCCAATCATGCACTATGGCCATTGGGAAGATGTGGCTCTCCATGTTCTGAAGATTATTGTTTTTATAGTGATCAACATGCACTCTTACTGCCAAAATGTAATAAAACATGCACTTGCAAATCCCCAAAACACCTGGAGGTCTATGTGGTCAAATCTCAGACAAGTGGTCCACGGACCACATCTGTCGCCCTTTTCAGCAGTTGAACCCTATAATTGTGTTTTGTGTTCTTAAAGTCAAATTGTGTGCATTTTAAAACAATGACCTAAAATGACCCCTAGATGACCTTTGACCTCCAATTTTGGAAGGCTTGTGATGAAACCCGACCCAATGAGTACTCCAGCCAAGTTACATTAAAATCCATCAAATTCTGTAGACAAAGACACATATGAGGCATATTTGAACAATGATTTCTAATTACCCTACATGACCTTTGACCACAGTAATCCAATGAAGAATTGAGTATTTCCACCCATGGGTTACTGCATCCAAGTTTCTCATCAAAATTCATGAAAGCATGTAGAAGTTATACATTTTTTTTCACAAACTGAACCTTAAAACTCTGAATCGCATCATGATTGACCTTATTTGACCTTTGACTTACACAGTTGACCTGAAGTATATTCCACATTACCTTTACTAGTCAACGACCATTGTGTCCAAGTTTCATGGAATTCTGGCAAATACTTGGGCAATGAGAGTAATTTGAGAACATTTTACATAAACTTTAACATTTGGACATACGGACAACGGTCATACGGACAACGGTCATACGGACAACGGTCATACGGACAACGGTCATATGGACAACGGTCATACAGCCGTACAGAATTTAGGACTGGTAAGAGTCTCCCGAAACATTCCTTTGGGCGACACAAACACTAATGTCACCAAATTAATCTATAAACAATGACATGACAAAAGGCCACACAGGAAAGAACTGAATTTGATATTGAACCCCCAAATGTGATAACTATTTTATTAATCATCAAAAGTTTTGATGTGTTCACTTTCAATGCAATATGGGGAGGATTCCTTTGAACATTATCTTTAGAATATCATTTTGGGAAAGGCATAGCATAGAACATCAGCCATGGCATTATGTGCTAAACAACATGGAAGAATATAATGGTCATGCAATTAAACCAGGCACGGTTCTGTAGATCCAATATTTTAGGGGGGATAGAATCTTTGTACGTTACGCCACTATATCTATTCTTAAGATTCTTTTTGGCTGTTACAGCCTTTGTTTTTGTTAAGATTTTTTGTGTCTCTTGTTTTTTCTTTTTCAGCCATTTGCCATAGCATCTGTACACGTTTTCATCGTGCATGGCACTTTGGGCTCAAAAAACAATCCGATTGCCTATACTTGGCACACACTTAGACCAGCACCTGCAGATGTATGCCGAACATTGATGTCATCATGACATCATCACTTGTCACGCGACGTCATAATAAACGTGCATATTTTGAAGGTCTATATCTCCAGAACGACAGGTCCGATTTGGTTGAAAGTTGGTACGGTATGAACCTAGACTGGGAAGTGTTATAGATGAAAATGTAAGTGATGTCACGATGACGTCATAACATGACATGTTACATCATATTAAAAGTGCATATATTTAAGGCTTATATCTACAGAGCGACAGGTCCGATTTGGGTTGAAAGTTGATATGTTATGTACCTAGTAACGGTCAAAATACTTCCACTGCCCAAACTATAATAGTGAAGCCGCCATGGCTTGCTGTCGAAGGCGGGAAGGGAGGCTAAAGGTAGGGTTGGGGATAATAATAATAATAATAATAATAACTGGATTTATAGAGCGCCAAATTGCCAAAGGATACAAGGCGCTGAAACAAAGAAAGAAGAACTACAGAAAGAACAACAGAAAAACAACAAGGGCGTACGACCAGCTATGGTGTGGGGAAAAAATGGGTTTTGAGAGCCTTCTTGAAGGTTGGCACAGTACAGTTTCTGATAGGGATGGGTAGACTATTCCACAATCGGGGAGCAGCAATAGAGAAGGCCCGATCACCCGCGAGTTTATTTGTCCTCTGAACAACAAGAGATTTCCCATGAGAAGAGCGAAGGGAGTGAGACCCGGTTCGATGGGAATGATGGAAGGGGATTAGGATTCAGGATGATGTGCCAAGGTGTAGGGGTCGGCAAAAAAAAGTCAACAAATGTCCTTACAAATACATGTGTACATGGGATAGCCGTCACCAGGTTATGGGGAAGTTTTCCATTGTTAGTGTAATTAGGACCTAGTTGTGGGGACTTTTTGCAGCCCCCACAGCCAACCAATATCACCCACAAACCCGTCAGAACGCCTAGGCCACTTGCTAAAATCTCCCCCCGAAAAATGGGGTAAATTAGTGTGCATGTGCGACTTCTGCAGGCAATTACGGTCCATTTTCAGTCCCACACATACTAACACAACAAAGAGCTGACCAGTGAAATTGCACAAAAGTGTTGCTGCATCTTTTGTATTACTGGAAGAAATTTGAGAGTTTGCTTCAGAATCAGAGTTTGCTTCGGAACCACTATGAATTGTTTGAATTGAATTGAAAGAGTTGGAACTGTCTCTGAGTATTCTGGTAGTGGTGTTATTCAATTTAAGAGGGGGGGAGCATATTTCTAAATCTGGGGGAATGTAATGGTTTTGTGCCAAAGTTATACAGTAAGGTGTCTCTCCTAGTTTCAAGGCTAGAAATACCTAGAACGTCCAAAGCATTGGAGTAACTGTGATACTGATGAGAGCCTAACACAGGGGTGTGAGTGGAGTAAAAAAAAAAGGGCCCCGGAAAACTTTTGAAATGTAGATGCTCTGTGGTGCATTTTAAAGCCTCCTGGCATGCCTGGGCCAACTATTGGTTGAAAATGTTTTGCAATTTATGCATGTTTTTAAGTTAACTTTTCCTTCATATTGGCTTGAAACTGCCTAAATGGCCAACTTGTATATGAAAACTGGGAAATTCAACCACGTTTTCCATATTTCAACTCTTTACTGCAGATGATACACATCGTCATCGCGTGTCCCGGCTTCTAATCGAGTCGCCTAATTTCTGCCCATTCCATTAACCATGTGTTCCATCCAAATTCATTTCCATGGATTCGTAACCTGAGGATCGGTCTTGTCAATGTCCGTATCAAACTCCGAACCTCTTTGGATAATAACACATTTGTGTTGCACTGACATCTTGCGGAATTAATAATGTCAAAATACGTTCGAAACATTTGAAACGACACACTAACGTACGTATCAGCATTCAGCGGAATACACGCAGCAGGCCTGGATGCGTGCATGCAAAGAAATGCACACATGAACTTTGCCCCGCATGATGCCCTCTATCGGCGCGGCACAGCGACAATTTACTAGTCTTATTTCAAGGCTATATATTTGCAACAAGACGATTATTTTGGAGATCATCGCGTGTCACTACATGCATAGACACAGGAACGGCCGCAAAGAGTCCCAACGCGCTTCATGGCGCATGTGTGATTCATATTTATCTGCAGCCAATCACAGCGCAATGACTGTTGGTTCCCCGGATGCTGTTTACATGTTGTCTACAATACATTGTACACACGCGGCTTTGAGCTGAAAAATGCATGCACATGGCATCGTATAGTACACACGTACATATGTACATTGAATACTCACTTGCACGCACACCAGAGCTACGTGTATGTTATAGAGAGCGGATCGCGTGCGTTCAGCGGCGGCGGAAAATAAAATAAACGGAAATAAAATCAATGCTTACGCACGGGGGAAATTTGGACCATCGGAAGAAAAAAAGCGGAAAACAAAATGTGGCACGCTGAACAAAAAAGCGGAAATCCGCTAAATAGCGGAGATTTCACACCCCTGCTAACATAATGCGACAAGCACCTTTTTGTACATTTTTCAATTCTATAAGCCAGTTGTTTACTTATCAAGGTATGCCAGACTTGGCTGGCATACTCTAAAACTGGTCTGATGCAGCATATGAAGACCGAAATGACCCTACACCATACCCAAGCCCCCACTCCAACCCCTATCCCCACCCCGCCCCACCCCATTCCACCTTCCCACACACATCCCTACCCAACCCCTTACTCCCACCCCTACTCCAACCTTATAAAACTAAAAGATCAAACCAGAAGCACATGCCCATACACATGAATGCTCCCCCCAAATTACACACATACAATGTAGTACATTGGAAATTAATGCCTACATGTACATGTTATACCAGCATATGTACATGCACATGTTACATGTACATTTAACAATTAAAAACTAAAAAAATTACTGCAATTAAATTAACCTAATAAGAAGTTATAGAGATGATTCATGTTAACTGCATTTCCTTTTTTTCCCAAATCAGCAAGAACCAAAACCTTCAACATTGTAATCTGAATGCGGACGGCCGGACAGACGGACATGTCGGCCAGACGAATGTCAGCAAGGGCGGACGGACGGGTGGACAGACGGATGGAAATTGGTATTACATAGGCTCACATCTGCTTCGCAGCTCACCAATAAATACTATAAAAATTATAATAATTGTCTGTAAAATAATAAATCACGAGAGGAAAGAAAATACAAAGCAATTCACTATGATTCACATAATCTTTTACAGATATATGCCAAAGTGAGGTAAAGACCAAGTCTCAGCAAAGTCTGGCCTTATGATTGAATGTAGTTTATGCTACGTGACCTTTCAGTCTGTATTGACCTCTCAAGTTCTCCAATGGATCCTGAGATTTTAATGGTGTCTTTTTTTCCAGTAAACACGCACACAGAAAGACCACATTTTCTTCCACTTGGATTTTTCACAAAACCAACAACAATATAAAACCGTTTTACCTTTTAAGATTGAAAGATGTGAATAAAGCCTTGTGTATCCTTCACTGAACGGTATTTTGCATTGGTTGTTTTGAAGATTACTCTTCCTGTCACAAGAAATGTCTTCCTCAAGGATAGCACTCATCACCTTGTTAAAAATCAAGAATGCACAAGTGTCATAAAATACCAGTATCTCAATAACAGCAAACACAATAGAATCCGTCATGGTCTGATGGTAATAACAATTAATAATAATAATTAACATTTATAAAACACCCGAAATGCATAGTGTGCTCTTAGGCGCTGTACACATTAAAAAGATAAAGTAATTACAATAGAAATATGTTTTAAAAGGTGAACGTGTAGATCAATACACAAAAGTACATTATCAATCCAGTGAGGAAAAATTAGCCATTAAGAACCCATTTTTTTTAGCATTAAGCCATTAAAAAACATTTTGTTTTTATTTACATACATTATAAACCCAGCCATTGGCTGAGCAAAAACAACAAAAGGTCTGGCCCAAGACCTCAACAAAGTGCATCCTATGAAATCAGTAACACACTTTTGCCATGTAACCTCAATCCTCCAAATTCATCCACTTTGGCAAAGAGGATTTTGAAGGATACAGGGCAGTTAGGGTAAACAAAAATACGTTATAAACCCAGCCAATACAAAAAAAACACCCCAAAACCAAAGAAAAAAAACAAAACCCATTATCACGCTTTACACGAACAATGGAAGCAGTTATTCTTTTTTCTCAAGCATAGCGCTTATTTCTGAAAGCGTAGCAGATGCTAGCGCTATTTAATAGAATTGATGGGACAAGAAAAGAAAAGATGGGATACTCTTTAATTGTTAGCAAAGAAGCTTCCAAAATTTCCCTTTGTGAGATTCATTGATTGTAATTTACGATTAGAAAATCTATTATGAATACTAAAGTAACACCTCACCTGAACAGCTTTTTCTAAGAACATAGACAGTCTTAATGAGTTGACCTTCACCAGTCCTATGTCCTCTTTGTTGACCCGATTGTCCTCAGCACATACTGGATAAAACACAAGTTTATGAAATTTTAACAACGCAAAAAATCTTCAACAACACAAACACTCATGCCACTCTTTTAACTGTGCATTGAAATTCCCCCCACCAACAGAAGTGTAGGCTGATTCTACAAGCAAACTACCAATAGAAAAATCCTAAATACCGGTATGCAATAATTATGTTCTTACAGTGGAGCTGCTGAGGTTCATTTTTGGCCAAAATTGTGCACTTTGTGGTAAAAGCATGAAATTTGGCCTGTGGGGTCAAAATGGGCTAGAAATCATTTTAAGATCGGGACCCATCATGGATCTTGCCCAATTTTAGGGCAGAGCTTGATTTTTTTTTAAAGGGGGTGCAAACAATGCAATCAAAAACTGTATCTGGGTCATTCCATGACAGACCAACGCACTTTTTTACCGCATGTCTTCCGATTTTGATAAAAATTGCTGTGCTTCTAGGTCCTGATGAGCAATGAATGCACACCAATTTTTAGCTCGATCCGACCTACCATGTGGTCAGGGCAGAAACCGCAAAAAATAGAAATTTTTAGAGAAAATACTACCCTTTTGGTAGAAATATGTCAAAACCACGTCAATTTTCATCGAATATATGCGAATTTGGTATCAAAATAATAAGAATTGCATGCTCAAATCAACTCTTTTGTCAAAATTAAATTTTGTGAAAAGGAGGTCACCTGACCTTTAATATGTTATTGTGACCTTTGACCCAATTTATGTAATAATGTATCATTCCAAAAATCAACGAAATGAAAATGACTTGATAGAGCATGTCTTCCTCTATCAGAATCTACTAAAAATCAATTGGGGTCTTCAAAATTTACAACTTTATCACTATTTTTGTACAGTTGGTGGGTTACAAATGAGTCAATTTATAGACTTTACATTAGAAATCCACCAACACAACTTACTATTCTGTTTCTAAAGCTACTTAAATTAATCTTGGTTTGGGAATTTCTCATGTTTAGGGCAGATGAGGTCTAACCAGACTCGTAATATAAATTATCAGCAGTGGCGCACCTAGGATTTGGCTTTTTTTTGGGGGGGGGGGGTGGTGGAGCTCATAGCTTTTTGTTGTCAAATTTCTGTAGAAGACTGAAAAAAAAAAATCAAACAAACAAATTGACAACCTTGGAGGGGGGTGGGTTCGAGCCCCCCCCCCCCCCCCCCCCCCCCCCCCCCCCCCCGGGTGCCACTGATAATTAGTTATCCCACAAGCGCGCTTGGAATAGTACCCTTAACAGTAACTGCTGATGACAATCAACTCTCAAGCATTCGACGTCAAGTTTGCTTGAAGATAAATTCGTTGGCCCACTTGCGCTCATGGAACACAGAATAATGTGGTGCGTCGGGTGGCATATGGGTCACAGCAGCATTGCATCGCTTCATATTCCAAGCGCGCTCATGGGATAACTAATTATCAGTGGCACCCCGGGGTGGCATGGGTGGGTGGGTGGGGCCTCAATTCAAAGCGCACTTGTGGGATAACTAATTATCAGTGTCACCGGGGGGGGGGGGGGGGGGGGGGGGTCGAGGGGCTGGAACCCCCCAACCCCCCCTCCAAGGTTGTCAATTTGTTTGTTTGATTTTTGGGTAATTTTTTTTTTCAATCTTCTACAGAAATTTGAAAAACAAATTATGAGCCCCCCCCCCCCCCCCCCCCACACACACACAAAAAGCAAAATCCTGAGTGCGCAACTGCTGATAATTTATATTATGAATCTGGTTATACCTCATCAGCCCTAAACATGAGAAATTCCCAAACCAAGATTAATTTAAGTAGCTTTAGAAACAGAATAGTAAGTTGTGTTGGTGGATTTCTAATGTAAAGTCTATAAATTGACTAATTTGTAACCTACCAACTGTACAAAAATAGTCATAAAGTTGTAAATTTTAAAGACCCCAATTGATTGACATGACTGACAAGACATGAGGTCAAAAAGTGCTTTGGTCTGACATTGAATGACCCATTTAACATCCATTTCCTTTGTTTTTTAATGCTTTGAAACAAACTTAAACATATCATATGGCATTCTGACACCTGTTACTTTCCACTCATTTTGAGGGCGTGGCCTAAATGTGCAAAACAGGCAGTATTCTTAGCAGTTTGATTCTAATATGGAAAAAGTCACTCGGTTTGGTGGTAAAATCCTGAAAATTGGCATGTCCAGCTGAAATGGGTTGAAAATAATTTTAAGAGGTGGACCCTTGGATCTTGCCCAGAGGTTGATTTTTCAAAAACGGAGTGCACAAAAAATGAAAACTCAGAAAACTGTATTTAAGAACCATTTTCCTTTGTTCTTCATACTTGAAATAATCTTAGACATGACATTGTTAGTCTTTTGACTTGCTGTTTAATATTTATGTCTAATAAACCGTAACGAATGAGTGAATGAATGAGAAATAACATTCTAACACTCTAACACTTGTTATTTTAACCCTTTTGTGGGCGTGGCCTCATTTTGGCCTAAACATGTAGAGGAGTTGGTATATTAGAGTAGCTTTATTCAAACAAGGTAATATCATCAAAGTGGAACAGCTATAGTGGAATATTTCACTTTGGACCACTTTTGTTGTGATGGCAGGCAACCATGTCAAATCAATCAGTCAAAGGATGGAGAAAAAAATCTAGGTGGATGTCACCCTTAATTTGGGCTCAAGTATACCTAATTTGCATAAATTGTTAATACCTGCCGTGTAATATATTTAGTCCAATATTTGGGTAAATTCTTTATTTTTAATTTTTTTTTTAATTTGGTGAATCAACTTATGCACCCTTACTTATACAACATTTTCTGAAGCCTATAAGTGACTGAATAATTATGAGGACATAGTAACGATAAAAAATGGCTACTTTATACTCACAATTGCGCGCATTTACCTTGTCTCCAGATATCTTCAAGTAGTCTTGCCAAACCTCAGTATTAATGAGCTTCAAATTCACCAAGATGCTTACTTGCACAGTTACCCTATTAAAACCTTAAAGAAAATCCTGTGAACAGTTATAACATTGTGATATATGGGCTAAATATCACAAAGTTATCATTGTTCACAGGATTTTTCATAAGGTTTTAATAGGGTAACTGTGCCAGTAAGCAATTTGGTGAATTTGAAGCTCATCAATACTGAGGTTTGGCAAGACTACTTGAAGATATCTGGAGGCAAGGTAAATGCGCGCAACTTTTGGGTATAAAAGTGGCCATTTTGGATCGTTACTATGTCCTCATAATTATTCAGTCACTTATATGCTTTAGAACATGTTATTGGAGTAAGAGTGAGTAAATAGAATCACCAAAGTAAAATTTTCAAAAAATAAAAACATAAAAAATATACCCATACATGGGAAAAAGTATAATGCATGACAGGTATTAAATATTTATGCAGATTAGGTATATTTAGGGTCAAAATTCATGATGGCATCCATCACATCTTGTTTGTTATGGTTCAAAGAATTGATCTAGAATGGATGCCTGCTATTACCAAAAATGCCATTATTTTCTAGAGCACTTTTCAACATTTGGCTGGCCTACTATCACTTTTGCTGGTGAAAACACACTTTCTGTATTGGACTATGCTTACCATACACTGTAAAGACAAGTTTACAAGGTTGCAAGAATTTTGCTGCCGGCCTATTAGAAGTGGATCTATATTTTAAAGTAGGGGGCTGAATATTTGCATAGAAATATCATTTTATTGGGTATGCGTGGTTACTTGGTACTTGGTATCTTGTACTTGGTTGGTTTCCTCCTGAAACATCCTCTAGGGATCTTGACTAGGAGGTCACCGGGAGGTGTCGGCATCTAGGTCTCGGTCATGATGTGGTTGTAGTAGTTGTCCCTAAAGGTCTTGTGCGTCAAAGAGTCAGTGATGTGTTGGGGCATGTCATTCCATAATTTAATTGTCCTTGGAGAAATGAGTTCTTGAATTCAGTTGAGGATGTTTGTACTATGTTGAATTGGTTGTTGTTCCCCCTCCTGGATCTCTGCATTTTTGGTTGAAGATAGTCTAAAGCATCGATGTCAACAGTGATGATCTTGGTGGGTTTACCTTCTGTCAGCTAACTTCCCCCATCAAGAGACGATAGCATGTTGGAGACACTACTCTGTCTGGTGTAATCTCCATGAACGAAGCGTGCAGCTCTGCGCTGAATTTTCTCAATCGCAGACTGATGACTGATTTTACAAGGGTTCCATGCTGCTACACCATATTCTAAGAGTGGCCGGACAAGTGTGAAATATAACCTTTCCTTTACGTTTTTAGAGCTCATGTAGACATTTCGTTTGATGAAGTTGAGGACTCTCGTTGCCTTGGTAACAGCATGCTGCATCTGATTTTCCCATCCCGAATCATGTTGGATTTTTATGCCCAGGTACGTGAATTCCTTAGTTGCTTCAAGACCCACTCCATCCAACTCATAGGCAGGTTCACCAGGGTTGCGTTTACGAGAGACTCGCATTGATTTAGATTTGCTCGCATTAAATCATATACCCACGTAGTAGCCCATCCAATGAGGTTGTCGAGGTCGACGTGCAGTAATTTCTCATCTTCATTGGTGTTGATCTGATGGTATATGAGGCAGTCGTCGGCAAATAGCCTGGTAACGCCCCTCACAGCTGATTGAATGTCGTTGATGAAAAGGAGGAACAAGTGTGGTCCCAACACAGTCCCCTGTGGCACACTGCTGAGAACTTTATGCCAGCTGGACAATTCACTGTTGACAACAACCCTCTGTAGCCGGTTGTTTAGGAATGCAGAGATCCAGTTTTTAATCTTGCCCCTGATGCGGTAATGGTCGATCTTCTGAAGGAGTTTCTGGTGTGGTTCTGTGTCGAAGGCCTTTGAAAAGTCCGACACTGCTACATCGGTGGTGATACCATTGTTGTGATTGCGGGCAAGATCATTGAAAGTTAAAATGAGTTGACTCTCTCATGAAAGTCCTCTACGGAAGGCATGCTAATTTTCAGATATAATTTGATGCTGATCAAGG